CTGAGAGCTTGCTTTGTGAACGACAGCCGGCCCGAAAGGTCGGCATTAATCCTTCACATGTTTGCTTTCTGTAATAAACGTAGATTATGAACTCGCCACTTGGGTAATGTGATATTTTCGGTGTGCCTTGCGGTGAGCTGCGCTGCACTGGGTCGCCCCCACCCCGGCCCAGCAAAGGAGACGTTGCGTCACGCCCAGCCCAGCGCTGGCCGGGAGAAGCACTCCCCATGGTCGCCCCACCATGCCTCCTTCCAGTGAGCTAGACAGGCGGGACCAGCCCCTGGGCTTCTGTGCAGGACACATTCTTTCAATTTCCTCACTAATAGGAAACAGGAGTCTCTGTCCTATGCGGCTTTATTGTCTCTGAACTCCACATGAAAAATGCAACCTAGACTGCGCAGTCCCACGATGCAGTCTTGAGCTTTTGTGGATGCCAAGGGCATGGGGGAGGTTGGTTCTGCATCTCCCAGGTTCTCTGCTGGGGAGGGTGAGGACCTCAGGGCAGAATGCATGCGTCTCTTGGTCCCTCCTCTGCATGCGGGTTAGACTACCCCATCCCAAAGTGGCCTCCAGCTGTTCTGGTTGTCCCAGTACCATCAGTTGCTGTCCTTGGGTGGCATGTGACTTCACTGCCTCTGTCAGGGTAGAGGACGGGAAGACAAGTGGGAGGCAGGCAGGAGCCTGGAGAAGGCCAGGCTTTGGGATGGGGAACCTGAAGTGGAAAAACCAGGGGCAGCCTCAGAGGTCTGTGTATCCTTCATCTTCATCTCACACAGCTGCCTCCAGCTGGTTCTGGGACTTTGATGACCAGACTGAGAGCAAGACAGAGGTGGCACTGTTCAGAAGCTCGGAAGAGGCATGATGGCAGGAGCTGAGTCTTGGGATCAGCACAATGTGGGAGACTCACACTGCATCTTCTGTCCCTTTGTGCCAACCTGTGTGATGCTTAACTCAAAAATCAGGCTGAGGTCTGGCTCCCAGGCTAAGAGAACTGGATGTAAGATGCTGTCATTGGAAGGGCGTCCCCGTGACATTGGTTCCAAGTCTCTATTCCCCATTTCTCTGATGGACCACAGAGGCTGCAGTCAGTCATCAGGGCAGTGGTACAGGGATCTCCCAGGTAAGAGTGGCACACTGGTTCCTGGGTGGAGCTGTTGCCCTGGTCTCTGTTGGGCTCCCACACAGGCTGGTGGTTAGAGATTGGTGGGCTAGGTGGGTGAGGGGCACAGTGAGGCCTCCATCCTGCTCCACTGCACCCCCAGAGCTAGAAGTCTGGGAGTCACACCACCGATGCCAGGATCTGCCTTCCTTAAGGACATGTGGAGTGTCCTGCAGCTCAGGGTGCCCATGTCACCATGAGACATTTCCAGGACAGATCCAAGGTGATCAGAGAGAAGTGGTAGCCGGCACAGGGCAGGCCCAAAGCCATTTTAAACAGGTCATAAACAACAATTCACAGGGCTCCCAGTGGCAGGCACCACCCCACCCTGCTCCTCGCCTGGCCTCCCCCAGCTTCTGATTTCTGGCCTGGGTCCAGCCCCCGCCTGCTGCTTCTGTGGCAGATAAATTATGTCTGCTGGCATTCACTGGACAGCTGTGTTTGGGACTGTTCCTTTTATGTCACACTGGGTAGCCAAGGTGAGAGTTTTTACAGTGCTCAGGCCACTTTTTGTGAGAGACGCGCTGGCCCTGGTACCTGGCTAAGAACCCAGTGCTGTAGAGAGAACATCCCAGTGGGGCATTAATTCAGCCTTCCAGCTGTATACTTGTTCAAGCTCATGAACTCTGAAAATTCCCAATCTAATCTAGAATTTAACCTTTGTGTGCAAACATCAGCTTTTCATAGGGACATTTCTGAACCAGAGGGACTAGCGGACCCCAGAGTCCTGCTTATTTGTGTCTGGGGTCATATTCAGTGTAACTGGTTGGACCCAGCTCTACCTCCTAGGGCCTCTCAGGGTCTGACTTTGACCCAGCATGCGCCAATTCTCAATTTATGACATACTTGAGATGGCTGAACGGGTGCTGGGTGGGGGTCGTTCCTGAAGCTCAGCCTCCTCCTGCAGAGCCGTCTGGATGGGCTTGTGCCTGGGGCTGAGTCTGGTGCCTGGATGACAAATTGCCCTGCAAGTGCTGCAGGGTCCAGATGGCCCTGGGTTTCCATTGCTCAGCACTGCTGCCGAGACTCACGGCTCTTAGGAGGGTTGTTGGGGCCAGGTCTGACTTCATGCACTTGACTTTCTGATATCAAGTGAGTGGGTTTACCATGCTGCTTTCAGTTAAATGTGAGTTGTCTTGTTCTTGGCAGTGCCCTTGGCCTCCGCTTATACACGGTGGTCCTGGACCGGCACAGGAAGAAGCTTGTTGACTCCGTGTGCCTGGGGTGGGGGGACAACAGACTCTCAGAGGACAAGTCTATGATGCTCTCTGTGTGTGGACTGCCTGCTGCAAGAGCCCCCCATTCCTCATGGTTCCCTCAGCCACAGAAGCTCCAGAGGCGGCTGACAGCCTCTGTCAGGGCTGAGCACTCAGCTACTGATGTACTGATGGGAAGGCACATGGGGAAGTCCTACACTGGTCAGGATACCATGTACCTGCCCATGAGACACTGGATCCAAGGCGCCACCTGACAGTGGGCCCAGTCTTTTGGTGTGGTAGGCCCAGTTCTTTAGACAGTGTGCCTCCCTCCCCTGTTGTCCAGGGGTGACTCAGCAGTCAGCTTGGGATTCCAGATCACTGTGCCAAGAGATGTTTTGATGGTGGATCTTCACAGCCCTCATCAGAAGGAGATGGTGGGGCTGTCCTCCAGAACTCGTGCTGCCCCTGTTGGGTGCTCATGTCCCACTTCAATAGTTCCTCCCAACTTACTGGAAATGCTCACAGATCTGCTCCTGTCCCTCATGTGACCAGCTGACTATCCATGCATGGCTGGTCATCTTGACATCGCTGAACTGAGCAGCAGTGGTGGTTCTCTGGAATGATTCCAGCTTGATGCTACCCACCTTCCAGGCCATGGCAGCATCAGCCTTACAAAAGAAGTAGGGGCTTTCCCAGGGGATGGGGCACACACATCATGGGCAGGAGATCCTTGTCAACTCTTAGAAGGCAGGTGGTGCAAAAGGAGGAGTTGTGTGGCTAATCAAACAAGTCGAGCACTCCCTGGGTACCATGTAAATAAGACCATCCTTCCATCTACTGTCTTCCTTAGGACCACCTGCCCTGGCTATACTCCCCAGGTGAGCCAGAGCAGGATGGTCCTGTGGTTAAGGGGTGGGAACAACGGGGCTTGGGATGGAGCACAGAGGCCTGAAGGACTTAGCGCCACCTCAGCTGAATGGGGCTCCTGGAACCTGTCAGAATATGGTGTCCTACAGTTGAAAGTCTAGGATAGTGTGGGTCACCTTGGCTCTCTTTGCTGCCTTACTGTCTGACTCTCAGCACTCCTGGGGTCCAGTTGTGTCAGAGCCTGCACTGATCACTGAAGCACTTTAAAATGATGTCTTAAAGATTGGAAGGAATGAACACAGGATGGACATGGCACATGGAAACAGCCATAACGGTTGGGAATCCCCAGTGGCCCATAACTCTGGGGTCCCCTGTGGGCCTGGAGACTGAGTTGGTGACATCAGGGAGCCACGTGGATCTTCCCCCAAGAGCAGCACCCTCATAGGTAGGGGAACACCCCAGCCAGTGAGCCACGACCTCTCCAGGGCCCAGGCCAGGCACAGAGCTGCTGGGCCTGCAGTGGGGGCTGTGTAGGAAGGCCGTCCTCAGCAAGGAGCTCCCACAAGAGCCAGGCTTCAGGAGAGAGTCCATGTTCGTTGCTCACAGTGGCTGGTGGTGCAAATGCCCTGACCTAATGGAGACCAGACATGCGTGCCTGCTGGCTCAGACCGTGGCTGAAGATTTTCTCTCAAAATGTAGATACAGGTTTATTTACTTACAGAGGAGGCCAGGACTCCTACGCGGCACATGTGTTTGTACTTAGAGCCTGTTTAAGGTGCCACAGGCAGGCCATAGGTGGCAATGGGTGGAAAGTCCCCTCATATAGCTGACCACTGTCAAACCCACCATGAGTGGTGAGATGTAGCTAGAGAAGCCAGCTAACAGCTCATTGTGCACACTGCTGTCTTGGGAGTTGCTGATCATTTACGGAATACCTCGGCCATCCAGATGGCATTTCGAATGGTGGAAGAGGTGAACCAGCATGAATGGAGCAGCACAGGAAGTGAGCAGGGAGAGACTAGGCCCCTGGGCCCATCTGGAACCTCTTCCCTTGCCCACACGCCTTCCATTCTGTTCCCAACTCTCCTGCAGAAACTGAGGCATGAAGCACGTGGTGTACCTCCAGTGGTCACAGCCTGGGACTGGTGCCCAGCCACAGTGGCCACATCTTCTCCGTGGCTCTTCCCTGCACCATCAGCCTTCTTGTGCAAGACGGGCAGGAGAGGTCCAGAGAGAGCTGCAAGCTGCCTGGTCACGAGTAGGAGCCAGGAGGGAAAGAAAGAGACACTGCTTTCCTGCAGACTTAAAAGTATTCTTCGTCACAGCTCTCCTGCAGCAGACAAGCCATTCACCTCCTCAGCTGAATTCTTTCTGACTTCCCAGAGCCAGTGTGCTGTGGGTTCAGGTTTACCCATGAGCAGAACTTATCAGATCATCAGTAGCTACAGGGCGCAGTGCCTCCCAGCTGAAAGGTTTCCCTTTGATTACTACAAATCCACGGCCTCTGGGCCCAGAGCTCCTACTGCAGTTTGAAGTGGATTTTTCTAGCACGCTAGAGCTGGGGGGACTCCAAGGAAAATAGTCTCTTCAATTAGAACCAGCTGCGACTTTTTCGGCTGGTGACTCACCCTGTTTTTAATTGGGTGGGAGAACGGGCAGAGACACAGGGCTCAGTCAAGACGATGTTTGTTTTGCACGGGGTATCCTAGCCACAGCCCGCTTGGCATACCCATCTGCAACTCATGTTTATTTAACTTCTTCTTCCCTCCTCACAGTTCCAATTATAAAGACAGAACCCACCGATGACTACGAGCCTGCCCTGACCTGTGGACCAGTGAGCCAGGGACTGAGTCCTCTCCCGAGGCCGTACTACAGCCAGCAGCTCACCATGCCGCCTGACCCCAGCCCCTGCCTTGTGGCTGGCTTTGCCCCCTGTCCACAGAGGAGCACCATGATGTCCACACCTCCCAGCACAAGCCCGAAACTCCACGACCTCTCCTCCGCTGCCTACACCAAGGGCATCGCCAGCTCAGGCCACGGTGGTCACCTGGGACTTCAGCTGCCGGCTGCAGAGGCTCCCGCCATGCAGGAAGTCCCCAGACCCATGGCTGTGCAGCCCAGCTCACCAGAGCAGCCCCCACCCACCCTGCTGCAGCCGCAGGTGAGTCCACATCTGAGCAGTAGCGGTCCCCTTGGTTGCCAACAAGCACTCTGTCCCAACAGTCCCTCTTCTCCGTCCACTGCCCATGAGCCAACCTGCTTGCAGCCCTCAGCCCACCCTCCCGCCACCGGCCACCAGCATCATCAAGTGCCGAAGGTTCAAAGAAACGAGCCTCCAGCCGCCGGGCCATTGTCACTGCCAGAGGTGTGTGAGGACAGTAATCATAATTTGGCCCCTATTCCTGTAACGATCAAGCGAGAACCTGAAGAGTTGGACCAGTTGTACCTGGATGATGGTAAGTGCCTGCAACCCTACAGGTGTGTCCCACCTGGCACCCTATTCATGAGCTCACAAAAGAAGGAGGGGTGTGCCAGTTGACTGACTTCATGGAAGAGTGCGCCATCAGGCTGATGATGTTTGGGTGAGGGACAGTTCTCATGTAGTGCGACCGACTGTGGTCTTGCCATGGACTGTGTGGTGCTGTGCCATGCTGCTTCTGGTCAGCAAGCTGCGTGACAGTGGCCAGTCATCTAGTGACCTCTGCTCAGGCACTATTGGCCCAAATTTGGGACTCCAGATCTGTTAACAAAAGCTGAGCAAAGACGTGCTCTGCTCAAGTTCAGGAAGTCCCAACAGAGGAGGTCACTCCTGGAGCGTGGCATGTGGCCTGGCGTTTGTGGTTCATGCATCAAGGAGTGTTCTTAGAGAACAATTTCTTAACAATGGCCTGACTAGAGGTCGTGACATTGTACTCCGGGCAGCCATGTAAAGACATTTAAATGTTGTGACAACAGTGTCAGGAGCCTAGGTAATGGAAGCAAAGATGGGAAGACCCTCTCTGTGACTCTGATCAGGGCTGAGGCCTCCTCCCAGGACAGCACCCGGCATTCTCAGGGCAGAAACACACCTGACTGTGGTATGTCTGGTCGAGCTAGGCTGCTAGTGGCAGGGCTAACTGGTGCAGAGATCTCTGTGGCGGTGACAAGTCATGCCAATGTGTTTGTGTTTGAGTTACTTTCTTTTTGGCCATCATGCTACTCTGGCTGAGTGATAAGAAGTCCCTCAGCACCTAACTACAGTGGCAGCCAGCCATGTTACAGGAGGCCCAGCAATCTGCTCACTGTGTATGGGTTCAGTTGGTGTTTTCCAGACCTGCTAGGGTTGTTTGTGTGGATAGCCATCTTCCCCAGACATGAGCTCTTTACTAAGCCAGAGTGTAAAGCAGCAAACCTGGAGCAGGTACCCAGCTCTCCCCACCGCCCAGACTCAGGTAGGGTCCAAGATGGCACCAGGACTTGCTCCCCACCTCTAAGGGAGAGGCTTTGACACCTCCTTTAGCCAGCCTTCCCCAGGTTCATGTCTGAGAGTTTTAGGTGGCCCTTTGATTTCAAGGAGACCTTTGGGAGGAGCATTGAGAAGTGGGCACCGCACCCACAGTGCTCTGCACCTTGTTCTCCTCAATGACCTGGGTGCAGCGTAGACTGGCCTATAAATGAAGAAGCCTTCCCAGCTTCCTGGTGAAAGGTCCAGTGTCAGCCCTGAGTGATCTTGGGCACAAGGCTCTTATTCCAAAGTTCCTGCTAAACACTTTCCTACAGATTCCTAACTGAAGCTTTTGGGGGAGGGTAAGTGAAAATATTCTCTCAAAAAACTATTTAACCCTTGAGCCCAGAACCCCAGATTCCTTGTCATCTATTTCATCCAGGAAACTCCCTAGGTCTACAAAAATGGCCAGGATTGCAGTGATGGGCCATGCCTGTCACTCCCTTAGCACGGGGATTCTGCCTGTGTCCCCAGAGTGTGGCCCTAGTAGATGCTGGCACTTATGCCTATAGAAATGAACTCTGCTTTGCCTTGGGAATCCTGCTGTGGTCCTGTGGGAGCTTTGTCACCTGTTAGCAGTAGGTTGGCCTTGCAGAGGCATCATGACTGACAACCCACATCTGGGCAGTGCCCTCTGACCCAGGATGGGAAGCTGGCCTCATCCGGGTTTCCACTGCCCCGGAGGTCACAGCTGCCGAGTGACGAGGCTTTGTGAGTGTGGAACACGGGGCAGGGGAGTGTTACATGTAGGAGGAGGGGATGTGGCCAGGAAACAACACCGCGGAACTGTGCCAAGCACAGTGCTGGCAGTGTCCCCAGAGGACCACCGTAACACAGGGCAGGGATGTTGGAGCACTATAGTGTTAGTGTTGGCCTGTTGGATCTCACCGTACCTTCCAAGAGCCAGAGTCTCTTGTCATGAGGTGTAGTGTGACCGAGCTCTCCAAACGCAGAGGAGGAAGCCCGAGGGACCGTCCTGGGCATGGTGTCTTTTCTGTTTAATCTCAGTTTGAATTTGCCACCACCCCAGAGAAGGAGTGTAGAGAGAGAACAGCGACCACAAAATCTGGGTCAGAAAGTTAATCTCCGCTCATCTCAAATGGCCTTAGACAGAGAAAGGCAAATCGCCTTCCTGAATTTGCACGGCAGGGAGAGGTTAAACTTGGAGCAGGACCTACTCTATTTGTAAATGAGTGTGCTGATGGGAAGATCCTGGTTTCCTCCAACAACCCTTGGCCTATGTGGGGTCCCCAACTCCAGGCTCCCCAGTAGCTTTCTTCTGGACTATTTGTCTACATGCCATGCCAGCAGGCAGCACAGGCTTCATCTCCCTCAATTGCAGAGTCATGGGTAGAAAGGGACATACCAGCAACTGGGAGATCCCTGAGCTGTGGGTGTGGAGAATATAACAAGCAGGGGAGGACTCAGCCCAGCCAGCCTTGGACACCAGGCAGTGCCTCCTGTGGCATCCTCGCCTGCCTGGCAGAATCAGGTCACCTGCACTGTGTTCCTTTGGTTAATCACATCTGCTGGCTCAGACACACAGAGCAGGGTGGCAAGGTGCCTGCCACTGGGCTCCTCAAGTGCCACCATTCTAAGGCCACCAAGCTGGGAGGAGGTAGGAAGAAAGTATACCGAAAATATAGTGGTTTTTATTTGTTTTACATGGGTTTTCATTTTGCTTTCTGAGAATGAAGAGTAAAAAGGCAGAACTAAGATACAATGTCCAGCTCCAGAGAGTGCAGGGCACACTGGAACATAAGTTCTCGGCATGGCGCCCTTGGGAGATGGGAAGGTAGTGAGACTGTGAGTGATCTGCAGAGTCGCATGCTATCACCTGCGGGGTGGCCCACTTTACTAACACCCATTTATATCAAGGAATAATTTAAGTCTCAGAATGAAGGAGGAATTCCACCTTTTTAGGACTCTTTGTTTTTCTTCTGCTCTGAAGTTTTACTGCGAAAGTACTTGACCCATGAATAAATTTCCGTGATAATTTCTTCTTTGTCCAACCTTCTTCATAAGATTAAGTTTTTGTTTCATCTACTACACCTCTCAAGCATGACAGGACCAGAAAACCATGTTTTGAGGATATCAGTGCTATGGACTTCACATTATTTTTAATGTAGGATTTAAAAATGGGCCACAGATCTCCACCTGAGCTGCTTTGTTTTTGTTTCCCTGAACTGCCTACTGTAGAGCTGAATTGCGTACAAACGACACTCCTCTTCTGGTGGCCGATCCTTTCTCCATGGCCCACACAAATGTTTGCTGCTCCTCCATTCACACAAGCTCCTAAAACACTGTGAAGCACGTGGAGATTGTTCCAGTCTTGGTGTGATGGGGACTCTGAGGCAGAATCACTGCTTTGCTGAATGGAGCCCCTCCTTCCAGCTTTGTGACTAATGTGACTTGCCTCTCTCTGCCGTGGTGTTCCCCCTTCCCCCGTCACCACGACTTCCCCAAGGCCTCTGCCATAATCAGGCCTTTCAGCTCCCTCCACAGGCACAGAAGTCTATACGTCATTAAGACAAGCAGGTAGACAAGGCAGCCCAATCGTGTCTGCCTGGCTGGGCTGAGTTTCTTTCTGCTCACCCTCCCCTCCTTTCCTGAGCTTAAGCTGCTCTGGGAGAAAAGATTCCCTCATGGAAAGCTTTGCTAACCTGGCAGGGTGCCCAAGTCTGAGCCTCCCCATTGCTAACGATGATTGCAAGAGCCATCAAACATGCCGAGCCGGGAATACTGTGGACAGAGGCTACCACATGACGGATAGAAGAAAGAATTCAGCTGTGTGAAAAACTCACGGGGGTCAGTCCTTCTTGCACCGGGGTGTCTGCATGGGAGTCGAGAGGCATAAAAGTCACACCACGCGCCACCCAGGATGGAGACTGCTGTAGGCGGGCGGAGCTGCAGCAGGCTGCATAAGTAGCTCTCTGGAGACCCCGAGGGGAGGATCTCCCAACAGACGTGAGTTCACCAGGCCCAGGCCTGTAGCCTCCGCACAGTGGAGCCGAGCCTCTGATTACTCACTCTGTGATGAGGGGCCTTGTACAAAGGTCCACAGCAAGCTGTTTCCAACCCAGTGCATCAGGCAGACACATGGACGTGGGCTTAAATATTCTGGGTTTTGCAGAGATGTTCGGAAACACCCCGTAGATCCAGCCCAAGAGCAAAAGCAGGGCCTATGGGGAGAGGCAGGGCTGGCGCGGCCTTCTGCTGTCTGGACGTTTGTATTTGCGTGGTGAGAGCCTATGGCTGCTGGACTCTGGGCAGCAGCAAGCAGCATTCTGCCCCTTCAGTGAAGGCGGACATGGACAGGTGACTGCACTGGCCGCTGAGTCAGGCTCTTTAAATAGGGTGCATGTTTGGCCACCGTGGGTGTGCACTGGTGCTGCAGCAGGCTGTCGGCCATGTAACCTGAGGGCCATGACAGGAGTGTCTGTCCTTTCTACATGGCAGGGCAGACAGGAGGAGGGCTGCTCCCGCTGGCCAGGCAGGGCTCGGGGCCACTGGAGCAGAGGGTCTGGTGGGTTCTGGGCACGGTTTCTCATCTCCTGAGGTGGATGTTAAACATGGAATTCTATGAATTACACTGTGCTGTTTTTGTTTGTTTGGTGGTGGTGCTGGGGTTTGAACTCGGGTCCTCACACTTGCTAGGCAGGTGCTCTACGACTTGAGCCACACCTCCATCCCCATATTGCTTTTAGTTAATTTGCAGGTAGGATCTTGTGTTTTTGACCAGGGCTGGCCTCAGATGGTAGTTCTCCTACCTGTGGCCTCCTGTGTATCTGGGACCACAGGCATAAGCCATCATTTATTGATTGACATGAAATCTCACTAACTTTTTGCCTGGCCTAGCCTCAAAATGTGATCCTCCTGATCTCTGCCTCCTGTGTAGCTGGTATTTCAGGCATGAGCCACCAGGCTATATTTCTAATCAAAGTGTCATCCTATAGTCTCTCTCTCTTCTGCATACTTGAAAGGAAATTCAGAGTTGTTGCTTTCTGCTGTTATTAACTGTCTGCCTTTTACACCTTCAACACAGGACTATGCTTCTTCCCTTATGTAATTGAACAGTTGTTTGAAATTATTAATTTGAGGGAAGGAAATGGGTAGAATAAAAAACGTTAAAGGAAAGAGCTAGAAAGGTTCTGTGGCCTTGGGGATTACACCAGTCAGTGCCAAGAAAAATTCATAAATCTGTAACCAGCAGAACTGGTGTTCAGACACGACAGTGCTGAACATTTGTGGTATTGTCATTTCTCCCAGGTGCGCTCTTAATAGCCGTAAAGTCATGGTGTGTGCCTGGCTCTTTCTCACAATGCTGGCTTTTTCTTGCGTGGATACCCTCTGCTTTCCTTCTACAGGCTGGTTAAAACCCTCACAGAAATTCTGCCCCGGCCTTTCTCCATTTCCAATCAGCTCCGGCAGCAAGGCTCCATTCTCTAAGGTGTGACCATCTCAAAAAAGTGTTCTTATTTCAGAACAAGCACACTCTACAGATGTTCAGAACTGTGAGCCACAAACAGCACGCTCTGGTCTGTGTTGTCAGCACCCACAGCCCTAAAGCACAGTATCTAAAAGCTAAGAGCCACATTGAAATGGCTTGGCTGTTGGTCGCCACTGCACTGGAGCACCCTTTGGAGAGAGTGGTGCTCAGGGCCGTGAGAGCTGTGCCACCATTGTCTGTCTGCACGGCAGCTGGACCTAGGCTTAGTTGGCACGAGGGTCTCTGCCCCTGGGGCTGCAGCACAGAGACTGTTGAGTGGCCTTCCTGATGAGTGTGCTCTTGCCCTCATACGTGTCCATCCGGGGGAAAAAAAACATGGTAATTGGAATCATGGTAACTGTCCTCCTGTCCGTGCTGGAAACATTGCACTCAACACACATTGCCAGCAAACAGAAGACCCAGCAATCAGTACTGGAACCCCCAGCCTGACTTCTCACATCTGCTGTCCCATTGACAAATTCCATCTTACACGATCCTGGGGGGCAGGCAGATCTGTCAGTGTCGACTTCACCCGACACAGAAGGAAACTGAAACAGAAGTGAAATGTCGTTTGACTTGCTTGGAGCCGCAGCTACAAGTGGCAGCTCTGGCTTTGTCACGTGGTCTCCCCAAGGCTTTGCTCCACCACTGAGTGTCCCATGGAGACTCATGAGCAACGCCTGCTACTCAAAGTCCAGCTCTAGGTGTGAGGAGGCTTTGGGAGCCATGGCAGACTGAGGCTTGTAGTTCTCTTTATCAAAGAATCTGTGCTTATTAACCAAGGTTCTTGTTGATAACTCAGGAAGGCCTAGAAGAGAGGTGGGAGTTCCCAATGAGGGTCAGAGAGCCTTGGGTAACCACCATTCCCCAAAAGCAGTAAACATGCTTGCAAATCTACCAAACCATCCAATTTGGAATTGGGAAATTAACAGAGGACTAGAACAAAGTGAGAAGCATTTATTCAAGGAAAACTGGACTTGCCAGTAAGAAGAGCAGATCTGTGGTGGTTTAGCTTGGGACCACTCCCGCCCATCTTACCTCATGGAGCAAAGCCAAGAGGAGCCAGTGGTTCACAGACAATGAATGAACTGAAAATTGCAGTCAGCTACTAGGGAGGTGGAGTTCGGAAGGGTCGTGGTTCAAGGCTGGCTCAGGCAAAAGTTCGTGGACCCCAGCTCAATGAATAAGCAGAGTGTCATCACACTCTGCATGTATCTGTGACCCCAGCCGTGTAGGAGGGTGTAGGTAGGAAGACCATGTTCTGAGGCCAGTCTTGGGCAAAAGTTGTGAGACCCTAACTGAAAAATAGCTAAAGCAAAAAAGTAGGCTGGGGATATGGCTTAAGTGGTAGAGCACCTGCCCTAGCAGCAAAAGGCCCCAAATTCAAAACCCAGAACTGCCAAAAAAAAAAAAAATTTAGTCAGTAATTGGGCTGGTCCTGAAGCTTCCTGGAAAAGTCCCATTCTCAGGGCATACCCCCAAACAGCAGTCATTGGCTACAGTCGTGAGGGTCGGAGCTGCTCAAGGCTATGGTCTCAGTTGGGGCAAATGAGAGCCAAACTAAACTAGATGGTCCTGACGCATCCCTGGGGATCTGGAAAGCTGCACACGTGCAAATGGATGTATGTGTGCTCAGGAAAAGAGGCGGCTATCACCTCTGGTTGACCTTGAGACCACCCTGCACAAGCAGAAGTGAATGTGAACTGGCTTGTCGGCAGCCTGCTGGTGAAGGTGGGCTGAACATTCAGATTTTCCTGGTAAGAGGTGGAAGACTTGGTGGCTCAGGACTTAGGGTGACCTCCCTACTAATCCTAGCAGATCATCCAGCTTTGTGGAGCTGATGATGAGCCCTCAGGAAGCCAGGCCAGAAAACAGAAAACTCTGCAGGGAATACAGAATCTGTTCAATTGATCCAGGAAAGTCAGTAACCAAATGGACTGCAAGGGGGAAAATACCCTTGTAAAGGAAAGTCTTATTTCAGAGTTGCTGCATCATCTCTAGTGTCCATTTTAAGCTGAAAATTAAAGATGCAAATTAACAGAAGAAATGTCCTGTTCACAGGGAAAACCCCATGGTCCTCAGAAGTCTCAAGTGTTGGCCTAAGTAGCAAAGGCTTTAAATCTGTTATTTAAATATTTCAAAGAGCTGTATTTTTAAAAAAGTTTCAGGAAAGTATAACAAATGTCTTACCAGAGGACACCAACAATGAGATGGAATTTTTTTTTTAAGGAGCCAAATAAAAATTCTAAGGTTGAAAAGTATAACACCTGAAATGAAAATTTATTAGAAGGACACAACAACAGACTTGAGGCAGAAGAGAAAAAGAATACACAAACGTGAAAAGCACAATAGATTATCCTGTCTAAGGAACTGAAAAAAGAAAAGAATGAAGAGAAATGAGTGGATCCCCAGAGACGTGGAAGCACCACAGACAGACAGACGTACAGATAGCAAGAGTCCCAGAAAGACTGCAGAAAAAATGGTAGAAAAATATTTGAAGAAACAGTGGCCAAAAAATTGACAAATTTGATGAAGAACATTATTCTGCAATCCAAAAAAAAGATCAACAAACTCCAAGCAGAATAAATTAAAAGTCACACCTAGACCCATCATAGCCAAATTATCAAGACTAAAAGAAGACAAGACAGTCTGGGAAGCCACCATCTCCCGAGGGAGACTGGCAGCTGCCTCCCACTAGGATCACAGATGCCAGGAGCCAGTGAAGCAGCAATGTTCAAACACCTGAAAGAAACAGATCGCCAACCAGGAATTCTATATGTGGACATGAAGGAGAAGTAATGCAATCTCCAGACAAAGATGCACAGAGTTTGTTGTCAGTGACTCTGACTTCTAAGAAAAATTAAAAGAAGTCCTTCTGGCTGAGGACAAATCAGACCTACACAAAGAAATTAAAGCACTGGCAAAACGTGGTAAATAATAATAATAATAAAAGCACAAACATTTAAATACTTTTCTCCTGTTTTAAAAGAAATCCAAATTAGACAATAATTATAAAGGTGTGCTGCTGGCTTTTAAGCTATAAAGATGTCACTTGAAGGACAATAGCAGAAAGGAAGGGGTAGGGAAGGAAATTGTATCAGAGCAAACTTTATATAGCATTACCACTAACTTAATATATGAAATGGGAAATAGCGAGTAACTAACAGCAGATTGGTAGATCCTGTCACGTGGACACATAAGTAGATGTAAATGGAATAAACACTCCAATAAAAAAGAGGTTGTCAGGCCGGATTTGAAAAAAACAAAACAAAATAGGATCCACCTATATGCTGTATATAAAAGACCTACTTTAGATCTGAAGGCTAAAAAGGGAAATGGGAAGTAGGGATGCTCAGTCAGCTTCTCGTCACTGTGGTCAGACACCTGACACCAGCTGCTTGTGAAGAAGAGATTTGGGCTGGTAGAGTGCCTGCCTAGCAACCGTGAGGCCCTGAGTTCGAAACTCATTACCACCAAAAAGAAAAAAGAAAAGTTTGCTTAGCTGACAGTTTTGGAGGCTCAAGGTCGTCTTCCGACTGTATCACATCATAGCAGAAGTACAGGTGCATGGAAGTGCTTTCAGAGTCATACAGGAAGTCCAAGAGAGACTGGGGTCCCATGATCCCTTCCAGGGCACATTCCCAATGACATAAGACTCCCTGTGGGCCTCCTCTTAATGGTTCCACTTTCCCAACACTTTGCCCTGAGGACCAAGTCTCCAATCACAATGGACCCTTTGGGCACACAACTAAACTCTAACCAAAGCATAGCAACTAATACTACACAAAATAAACTTATAAAAAATGTTAATACAGAGACCAGTGGTAATGCTCCCTTCATCATTTACAATGACAGAACAGTGAGTTGGGCAGGCTATAACAATTATAAATACTGATACACAAAAGAAAAGCTGATAGAATTGAAATCCAGCTAGAACAACTAGGTAGAAAATGCACTAAAGTATAAGACACTTGAACGAGACTCCCATCCAGCTTAACCTCCAAGGTGTCGATAGAACTCGCTACAGACTGGATGCAGATGAACAGCCTCCAGGATGGACTTCTTGCTGGGTCATAAAACAAGACTTGTAAGTTTGTAAATTCTAGTTCCGGTCACAGAGAGATTAAATAGGGAACCAAGAACAGA